TCTTCCTACTTCAGTATTAGACAAGATTCGTAGTGTGCTCCCTCCTACAGTGGATCCTTCTCCGGACCGTGTTATTTGGGCAGGTAGCCAAGATGGGGTTTTTTCAGTGAAATGAGCTTATAACTATCTCATGGGTACCTCGCATTATCATCAGGATAGGATTTGGAAGGTAATTTGGGCTTGGCCTGGTCCTGAATGTATTAGACAATTCTTATGGCTTCTCTACAGAGGTTCTCTTTTAACTAATGTTCATAGAGTGCATCGTCACATGGCTACAGATGCAGGGTGTCTGAGATGTCATTATAATCTTGAGGATAGTTTACATGCCATTAGAGATTGTCCTGGTGCCAGGGAATTATGGGAGCATTGGGTTCCTTCTGATAACCGTAGTGACTTTTCTCCATGGATCTTCACCTATGGATCCAGACAAATCTAGGATTAAAAGGTCCGTTTCAAACTGATCGAACTTGGCCTTTGTATTTTGGGGTGATAGCTTGGTGTTTGTGGGGGGAAAGAAATAAGGCGATCTTTGATCAAACTATCACCTCGAAGTATGGTCTCATTAGGCGCATTACCTATACTTGTGGTAATATTCAATTGGCTAATGAAACCCTTATTAAGATTGGTCATCAGGAGCTTAGAAGAGAGGAACGTCTTATTCACTGGAATTTTTCCTCTGAGGGTTATGTTAAACTTAATGTGGATGGTTCTAGCATAGACAGTGGGCAAAGGACTGCATGTGGTGGAGTCATAAGGGATGCTGCTGGGAACTGGTTAACTGGTTTTACAAAATTCCTTGGGAGTGGTACTTCTACTTCAGCGGAAATTTGGGGGTTCTTGACAGGTATGGATCTGGCTTGGCATAAGGGATTTAGGAGAGTCTTTGTGGAGGGTGACTCCAAGGTGGCTTTGAAATTTATAAGAAAAGGGTGTGACGTAAGTCATCCTCTTTCTGCTTTAATCATCTAAGCTCGTAGCATGCTTCAAAGAGACTGGATTATTCAGCTTAGTCATACTTATAGAGAAGGCAATTTTGTTGTTGATTGGCTTGCTACTCATGCACCTCATCAGGATGGACAACTGATTGTGCTAGATGTCCCTCCAACGGCTTGTTTGGAATTGCTTCGTAATGACTTGAGGGGAGTTAGTCTCCCAAGATTGTGCCTAGTATAGGGCTTTTTTTGATGTTGCTTTAGTTTTCATTGTATATCCAAAAAAAATGAATAAATTTATCTTCTACAACATAAACATAAGAAACATTAAACTCGTTGTTATATTATTCAAAAATATTGTTATTTTAATAATATAATAATACATTAATAATTGATTATATAAAAATTTGGAACCACAATAGATTAAAAATTAAATTCTATTTCGCCATGAGGGTAATTCGAATGAACTTTAAAAAAAAAATACTCTTTTTTATGGATTTGGTGTTTATTTTTTTAAAGGGCATATAATTAAGTTACCTTAAGTGAGAAAAAGAGATACATAATAAAAAAAGTATGGAGGAAAAAATGAATAATTTTTTTAATTTAAATTTAAAATAAAAAATATTAATTTTAATTAAAAGGACCAGAAAGACAATTTTTTTTTATTCATTCTATAAGACAGGATGGTGGTTGTACCGCGCTCCCATGACTTTCTGGTCTGATTGCGATGACTGCCTCTAATAAACGCGTTGCCTTAAAGGTCAAATGATATTATCTTTGTAAAATAAAAATTCATGCAGCCTTTTTAGTAGGGGGTTTATTACTCTCAAGTAACAGCAAAATAAATTTTTGTTCCTACAGACACATTCAAAAATGGGACCCACCAAGGTGAGAGAAAAAAAACAAAAAAAGAGAGTGGCTCAGTTACCGATGTGAGGGCAGGAGACATTGTGCTTTTGCTGTTACTTAAGATAAATAAAACTCTTTTAATAATGTCTGTAAGTTGTAAGTAATGTAACAATACTTGCAAGTCATTCATTGCGCGAATTGTGTAAATGTGGCCGGTACAACCGATTGAACTCATTTTCGATTGACTCGTTAAGTCTCAAAATTAATAATTTAAATATAATTTTTGAATCGTTGAACTGGCTTTTAATTATCTAAATTGATCAATCAGTCATGATTTATTAAATGATAATTCAATTTAACTGTCCCAAAAATTGATATATATATATATATATATATATATATATATATATATATATATATATATGAATAAACTACGGATATCTTCCATTGAAGACAATTCTGTTCGGAACGGATCCAAATTAAGACTTTAAATTCTTATAATAATTTAATTTTTCATTAATAGCTATAGAGAATTATCTTTATATTGATTATTATAAGGGTCCATCATATGTCCTGTCACATGATATAAGATTATGTTGTGTCACACCTTATAACTATGTATTTTGGGGTACATAGTTATAATGTTAAAATTTCTTTTTTTTTTCCATGTCAGTCGATAAATTTCTGAAAAAAATTTAAAGAGATTTTTTTTTAATATTATAATTATGTACTCTCTAGAATACATAATTATAAGAGGATGACATGATAAAACCTTATAGCATGTGACAGTACAAACAAAATAAACCTTTATTATAGTACTACTTATCAACATTATTTATATTCATACGATAATATCTAGTAGCGGAGCCACGTTAAGTATTAGAAGGCCTGACCCTAGTTAAAATTTAAAAATTAGTCACGTTGATATTTTAATATTTGACACCAACTAAATTTTCTTTGTTCCTAACTAATTAAGAAAATTGGCTTCGCCACTGATAATATCCTAAATTCTTAAGAAAAATATCAACTTTATATTTATAAAAATTAATGACAATTAAATAAAATATATTAGAAATCGGATGTACAAGACTCAAACATAGCTCCCCAAGTCAATGGATAAAGTCATCCTACCTTAGTGGCTATTAATTATCCCAATAAAATTTAAATTATGAAATATTTTAATACATAATAAGCTAAGCGAAATACGCATTAGTGGCTGATACAGTGCAAGACTACTCAAGTGGCGCATGATATATAGGCCAAGTTTTTTTTTTTCCTGAAATAATGAAAAGTTTAAGTGGAATTAGATAAGAAAAATTCATATGGGTCAGAGAAGAATCTCAATTTATTTGAGAATTTTCGATAGAGATTACATATCACTCACTATTTTTGGAAGAAATTATATATCACTCACCAATAAAGTTCTCACATTGGCGCGTCAAATTTGAACCTACACCCTTATAGGATATGGACTAAACCCTTAGACAACTGTGTCCACTTTGTTGGTACATATCGGCCAAGTTTGATATAAGTATTTGTAATTCAAAAAGTAATTCACGAGGACAATGATCATATTCATGGGGAGACTTAAAAATGACATCGGCCTAACAAGTCTCAAAAGTCACGTATAGAAAATAGAAGAATGTATACTTATTATCATTTTAGACTTACTACTTGATTATTTACCATTGGATCAATTTAAAATCAACGACATTTACTTTTTTTTTTTTTTAACCGTTGATTTCCAATTGATCCAACGATAATCAATTAGGTAATAAGAATAGTAAGTTTAAAATGATAATAAATATAACCACCTAGAAAATAATCGAGATATATATACTAAATCTGACTCGTTGGATGCAAAATGACTAAATTTGTTTGATCTTGTTTATTTAAGAAAACCATTAAAATTAGATTTTGGAGTAATACCCTATTCTTCTCGGTCGGTTGATAAGCCCAACATAATAATGCATGGTAAATAGGGATATTAACGGGCCAAGCCGAGTCAAGCTTTGGTTTTAAAAGACTAAGACTGTGTTTAAATGTGTCAGCCTGACCAAACCTGATACCTGTTATGAATATAATTATCGGTATGTGGCTTGACTTATTTACAAAAAATAAAAGCCTGATTTAGCCTGTTAACCTGTTTAAAAAAACAAGACAACAAAAATTTATCCAAATAGAATATACAATCAAGAGCACTAGTAATTCCATAAATATTCATAAATTCAATGTATATTCAAACATCATAATATAAAACAAAATCATTCAAAAAGTCTATTTAACCAATAAAATAGGATAAAATGGATTGAGAGAGAAAGGGCTATTACAAGTAAAATAAAAAAATAAAAATTAATATACTAGGCCAGCCTGAGAGGGTCTAAGGCCGAGCTTTTGAATTGGAGCCTGTGACCTTTTTATTAAATTAGCTTTTATACAAGTCAAGTCTAGTCCAACAACTAATTTTAAATATGTAAGTTAAAATCTTCATGAGTCGAGTCAAAGTTCATTTATCACCCCTAATGGCAAACATCTTAGCATTTTATAGCTAAGATATTCAATATAATAGATTGAGATATTGATATTGTTACATTAAGCTAATACGCTATTCGAATATAGAAAATCCCTTTTTGTCTTTGGGTTGCATTTTATATGGGTTTTATTAGTGTTATGTAATATAATATAAGTGTTGTTTTCAACTCTCACATCAAAAGGAGAGAGAGAGTGAAATGATGAGAGAGAAAGAAAAACATGTGGACCCCACCTCTTTAATGTGTGTGTAGGAAAGTGAAGTTATATTATGTTAAATGATAAAGATAAATTTCTATATAGACACATACAAATGGATAAGCTTTCCACGGCATTAACGAGATATACTCATTGGCAAAAAAAAGAAGTAACAACATAGACCAAGTTGCCCCTCTCTCCCTATGTCGACATTTCTCAGCACTAGAAGATTTGACTCGGTCATTTAACACCCCAATTGCCTGCAAGATTCAAAATGGGGTAACTGTAACATGTTAGTGCCTTACAATGGCCATTCACCATCCACCGGTAATGTTAGTGCCTTAAGAGTGGCCATTTACTATCCACCGGTAATATTAGTGCTTTATGTGCATTCACCATCCACTGGTAATGTTAATTAATACATATGCTTGACTTTGTCTTCTACATAAAGCACCAAACACAAACTTAGTATTCACCTAGAGAAACCAAAAGGTTCTAAAGACAACCATGACCATGCATGCCCTCTGTTTCTTAGTATTCCTTGCAACAATGCAAGGAACGCAAGCAGTTGAATACACTGTCACCAACAACGCCCTCACAACTCCTGGTGGGGTGCGTTTCCGCAATGAAATAGGAGCAGAATACGCGAAGCAAACACTGGACTCTGCGACCCAATTCATATGGAGTGTGTTCAAGCAAAACACCCCCGCTGACAGAAAAAATGTGCGGAAGGTGAGTTTATTTGTAGACGACATGGATGGTGTTGCATATACTAGCAAAGATGAGATTCATGTGAGTACAAGATATGTCAAAAGCTATAACGGGGATGCGAAAACAGAAATTACGGGGGTGCTCTATCATGAAATGACACATGTTTGGCAATGGAATGGGAATAACCAAGCTCCAGGTGGATTAGTTGAAGGTATAGCAGACTTTGTGAGATTGAAGGCAAACTATGCACCTAGTCATTGGGTAAAACCCGGACAAGGACAGAGATGGAACCAGGGTTATGATGTCACAGCTCGTTTTCTTGACTACTGTGACAGTCTCCAAAATGGGTTTGTGGCACAATTGAACAAGTTGATGAGGAGTGGCTATAATGATCAATTCTTTGTTCTGTTACTTGGGAAGACAGTTGATCAGCTGTGGAATGACTACAAGGCCAAGTATGGCAACATAGCCTAAGAGCTTTTTTATATGAACAATAAGCGAGTATATCGCATTCTCTTTGTAACTAATGGTGTAAATAAACTACTTCAGGCTAGGTTAGGCTTTGACTTAATTAAATTAAGTCTATGTAAAATATCTTTGGACTGACCTGGTCTTTCAGCTTGTGTAAGGCCAGATTATAAATTTGGTCTGACCTGTATTAAAAAATAAAAGTTTTGGCCAGTTAGTTTGTTTAAGTTTATTAAATATTCAATAATTAAAAAATAATTAAAATAATATTGCTTTATTATTTAAAATTATTAAATAATAAATTTATTTATTATATTTAATATAAATAATATGATGACATGTAGGTTTATAAGTTTAGCCATATTCTATTTAACTATTTATAATAGGTCAAACTGATCTAATATAGATTAAGCCTATGCCCCTCTAGGCTGGTCTGACTCATTTACACCCCTATTTATAAGTTTGTATCAATTCTAAATAAAACTCAATAAGTTACGGTGTAATTGGGCCTGAGGCCTTCTTGTTACCAAAAAAAAGAATATTGAACCATCCGGACTTGTGAATTAGCAATTTAGCATGACAAAAGTAGAAAGGCGATTTCACAGATGGACGAGTAAATTAAGGAAAGAAACGTTGAGAGGATATCTGTCTATTTTAAGTGGTTTTTTTTTTTTTTTTTGGTAATCTATTTTAAGTGTTTTTACTCTATGTGATTGATTCAATTAGTATAGAAAAAAAAGTATAGATTTTGTTTACTCCAGATTAATATTCTAATATGGAAAATGCGCCACTTAACATATTTGGTGCTTTTTTTTTTTTTTTACTTGTTAAAAATATGATTTTTAATATTGTTTTCTAAGATAAAAATTAGTTAATTAAATTTTGATAATCAATTGCTTTTAGCACGTCTTTTTTGATTGATAATATAGTCAATTTACAAAATATTTTATAATTTATTTCTTCTCTAACATAAATTTCTTAAATTATATAAAAGATGAGAAAAAAATTTTGTAGTTGTGGCAAAAATTATTTGTCTGTCATAGAGAGAAACCATAAAGGATGAGAAAGAAAAATATAATAAAGAACTCACTCCTTTTTTTTTTTCTTTCTCTATAACGGACAAATAATTTCTAGCACAACTTTAAAAATGATTTCCCCACAAAACAAAGAAAAAAATATTTGTCTTTTTTAAGGAAATTTTTTGATGGATAATATAAAAAATAAAATAAAATTAGTGTTTTATAGAAACAAATACTACTCAAGTGGAACATGACATACGTCGGCCAAGTTTGATAAATGCATTTGTGATCCAAATAGTAATTCACGGTGACAAACTGACAATGATCATATTCACGGGGAGACTTGGAAACGACTTCAGCCTAACAAGTCATCAAAGTCAGGTTTGGTATATAAGATAATCAAAATATGGACCAAAATATGACCCGTCGGATGCGAAATGACCAATTTTTTGTAATTGTTTATTTAAGAAAAACAATAAAATTAGATTTTGGATTAATAGCCTATGCTGCTCACTAAGTTTCTAGGCCCAACATAAAAATGCATGGCAAACATCTTAGCATTTCATATCCCAATAAACTATTAATCACCCCAAAATCATGATAATTATAATTTAGCTGTGTGAAAATACAAAAAAGATGACACAAACATAATGCTCCAACACCATATAACAAAACATAAATTAGACATGTGGAACAACGCATATTAATTTAATTGATAGACTAAAACAGAAAACACAAAGCATAACACAAATTTCGTCACTATAGTTCAAATGGGAAAGTCCAGCATTATTAATCCACCGTTGGGTAAAGTAATATCTATTTGAGGGAACTCCAATAAATCAAACCCGAGAAATAAAAAAATGTTCTTATTACACTTTCATAATTTAATTCAATACGAAAATACCAATGAATAGGATGTAGCACCGAAATTGACAGATTATGTTTTTAGTGCTATCAGCACAATAAGAACACCCTCCGCAAGAAAAGAGGCCAACTCTGATTTTTCTTGGGGTTCCCACTTCGCAATATTGTTCTAGTAAGCAAATACGCTATTCGAAGATAGAAAACAGTCTTCCGGTTGCATTTGTCTATAGACCCATACAAATGGATAAGCTTTCCGTGGCCTTAACGAGATATAGTGTTTGGCAATAAGTAAAAGTAACAACATAGACCAAGTTGCCCCTCTCCCCATGACATTTCTTAGCACTAGAAGATTTGACTAGGTCATATAATATAACACCCCAATTGCCCGGAAGATTCAAAATGGGGAAACTGAAACAAACAAGCATTCAAAAAATAAAAATAAAAAATGGCGTAGAACGACCTCTTGCTTGACTTTGTTTTCTACATAAAGCACCAAACACAATAGTTGAACCACAAACTTATTCACCAAGAGAAACCAAAAGGTTCTAAAGACAACCATGACAATGCATCAGCATGCCCTCTGTTTCTTAGTATTCCTCGCAGCAATGCAAGGAACACAAGCAGTTGAATACACTGTCACCAATAACGCCCTCACAACTCCTGGTGGGGTGATTTTCCGTGATAAAATAGGAGCAGAATACGCGAAGCAAACACTGGACTCTGCGACCAAATTCATATGGAGTGTGTTCAAGCAAAACGCCCCCGCTGACAGAAAAGATGTGCAGAAGGTGAGTTTATTTGTGGACGACATGGATGGTGTTGCATATACTAGCAACGATGAGATTCATGTGAGTGCAAGATATGTCAATAGCTATAATGGGGACGTGAAAACAGAAATTACAGGGGTGCTTTATCATGAAATGACCCATGTTTGGCAATGGAATGGGAATAACCAAGCTCCTGGTGGATTAATTGAAGGTATAGCAGACTTTGTGAGATTGAAGGCAAACTATGCACCTAGTCATTGGGTAAAACCCGGACAAGGACAGAGATGGAACCAGGGTTATGATGTCACAGCTCGTTTTCTTGACTACTGTGATAGTCTCCAAAATGGGTTTGTGGCACAATTGAACAAGTTGATGAGGAGTGGCTATAGTGATCAATTCTTTGTTCAGTTACTTGGGAAGACAGTTGATCAGTTGTGGCAAGACTACAAGGCCAAGTATGGCAATATAGCCTAAGAGCTTTTTTATATGAACAATAAGCGAGTATGTCGCATTCTCTTTGTAAGTTTGGATATCAATTCTAAATATTCAGCTGTTACAATTCAATAAGTTATGGTGGAATGAAAATTTTTATATTTGTTTAGAATATTGAATCATAATTTTTGCAATTATATTAATGTAGGACCGGTCGTACACTGTGTGATTAATGTAGGACCGGTCCTACATAGTGTAGTTTATAAGAGTTTGTAAACAAAAAAGTTTGTAAATATAACCTGTCCCGAAAAGTGATTTCAGAGATGGACGAGTAAATTAAGGAAAGAAACCTTTAGAAGATATCTGTCTATTTCAAGTCTTAATACTTTATGTGACTCGTTCAAAATTTTATTTATTAGCAGCATATAAAAAAAGGAATAGATTTAATTTTACTCCAGATTAATATTCTAATATTAAAAATGCGCACTTAACATATTTGATGCTTTTTTTTAACTTGTTAAGAATATTATTTTTAATATTATTTTTTAAGATACAAAGTAGTTAATTAAATTTTGATAATCAATTGCTTTTAATTAGCACATCTTTTTTAATTGATAATATAGTCAATTTACTTAATATTCTATAATTTATTTCTTGTCTAACATATATTTCTTAAATTATATAAAATATAACATTGAAAAGTATATTATCTGACTTAAAGCATAAGTTTTTGTGGCCTTAAACCTCGGCATCCTATGGCTACGTGTTTAACAACACAAGAATAGATTCTTTCATATTAAATTTTTGTATCATCTTATTATATTAAAATTTTGTTTGTTCTTACACAGCTGCTCGACAGGTGCAATAATAATAGCAAATTAAAGTTCTCCTTTGAAGACAGAGTCCACAATGCTTCACCTTTCCTTCAGGTAGAGGAAAAGGACTAGTGCTGTTGAACTACCGCATTAAGTATGTCAGTGGTCTCGTATAAATGTGAATAGGAAGACTTTTCAGACATTTATAAGAATTACCTGAGCTCAAATTCTGTAAATTTTTTTGCTTCAGTTTTTTTCCTCTCTCTACTCCTGTAAAAGCTTTTGTAAATTTTTTATGCCTTATTTCAATAGTAAATCCTCGCGTGCGTGTGTCAAAAGTTTTGCAAAGTAATCTGTAACAAAATTTTCACACAAAAAGCCATTAGAATTAGTTTAATAGTGAGGGGTTTGTATAATTTATAATGAATTCGAACCTAATATCACTATTATATTAAAAAAAATCAAGCAAACTTAAATGAAGAAAACTTGCATTGATATTAACGACCAATAGGAGGAGACTTGCCATTGCAGTCAACATGTATGAGATTTACAAGTCATAGCCCACAAGCTATTAGACATTATTGTCCCAATCATCACATGATTTATGGGGCCTTTTTTTTCTTTTTTGAGTATATAACACGTTATGGTAAGGGTATATTGGTATATATAAAAAATAGAAGTAGGAGATATTATTCTCTTTTTTTAATATCATTTAATAAAAAAATCCTAGTTGTTTGATTTTATTAAGGAAAATAATGAAATCAAATACAAATGATTGTAAAGTTAATAAGTTAATTTACTTAAAATATTTATACAATAAATAAGCAAAAAAAAAAAAATTAAATCCTGAACAACAATTTTTATTTTTATTTTGGAAATACAATGAAAACTAAAGCAACATTAAAAAAAGCTCTATACTGGGCACAATTTTGAGAGACTAACTCCCCTCAAGTCATTACGAAATAATTCCAAACAAACCATTGGATGGACATCCAGCACAATCAGCTGTCCATCCTGATGAGGTGCATGAGTAGCAAGCCAATCAGCAACAAAATTGTCTTCTCTATAAGTATGACTAAGCTAAATAATCCAGTCTCTTTGAAGCATGTTACGAGCTCGGATGATTAAAGCAGAAAGAGGATGACTTACGTCACACCTTTTTCTTATAAATTCCAAAGCCACCTTGGAGTCACCCTCCACAAAGACTCTCTTAAATCCCTTATGCCAAGCCAGATCTATACCTGTCAAGAACCCCCAAATTTCCGCTGAAGTAGAAGTACCACTCCCAAGATCTATACCAGTTAACCAGTTCCCAGCAGCATCCCTTATGACTCCACCACATGCAGTCCTTTGCCCACTGTCTATGCTGGAACCATCCACATTAAGTTTAACATAACCCTCAGAGGGAAAATTCTAGTGAATAAGACGTTTCTCTCTTCTAAGCTCCTGATGACCAATCTTAATAAGGGTTTCATTAGCCAATTGAATATTACCACAAGTGTAGGTAATGCGCCTAATGAGACCATACTTCGAGGTGCTAGTTTGATCAAAGATCGACTTATTTCTTTTCCCACACAAACACCAAGCTATCACCCCAAAATACAAAGGCCAAGTTCGATCAGTTTGAAACGGACCTTTTAATCCTAGATTTGTCTGAATCCATAGGTGAAGATCCATGGAGAAAAAGTCACTACGGTTATCAGAAGGAACCCAATGCTCCCATAATTCCCTGGCACCAGGACAATCTCTAATGGCATGTAAACTATCCTCAAGATTATAATGACATCTCAGACATGCTGCATCTGTAGCCATGTGACGATGCACTCTACGAACATAAATTAAAAGAGAACCTCTGTGGAGAAGCCATAAAAATTGTCTAATACGTTCAGGACAAGGCCAAGCCCAAATTACCTTCCAAATCCTATCCTGATGATAATGTGAGGTACCCATGAGATAATTATAAGCTGATTTCACTGAAAAAAACCTCATCTTGGCTACCTGCCCAAATAACACGGTCCGGAGAAGGATCCACTGTAGGAGGGAGCACATTACGAATCTTGTCTAATACTGAAGTAGGAAGAAGGTGCTGGAATAAAGGCCAGTCTCAATTACCATAACAAGTTACAAATTGAGACGTAGACCAATGAGTCATAATAAGAGGAATAGGTTGAACGGCCAGAGAAACAAGTTGAGGACATCCTGGCACCCACGAATCCATCCAAAAAGATGTATGAACCCCATCCCCTAAAATGATACGAGAATTCTCTAGAGTTTGAGGCCAATACTTAACAATAGCCTTCCATAAACCAGAATCATTTGCTGAAGCCGAGATACTTGGAATGAGCCTCTCCTCCACCTTATACTTGTTACGAAGGACCCGAACCCATAATGAATTACAATCAGTCATGATACAGTGACCTAGCTTCATGATAAAAGCCATATTATTCTCTTTAATTTTATGAAAACCAAGCCCCCTTACATTCTTCGGCAAACAGACCGTCTCCCAAGAAACCAGGTGAGCTTTCCTTCGTTCAGAAGTTGATCCCCAAATGAAATTCCTAGTTACACTTTCAATACGACCACACGTACCACTAGGAATAATACAAGTTTGCATAGAATATTGAGGAATAGCAGAAAGAACTGACCTAGCCAAAGAAAATAGTTATATCTATTATCTAACTTTCTTTTCTCCTTACATAACAAACAAGGAGCATGTTTAACTAGGGGTATAAATAGGCTATGTTAGGTTAGACTTTGACTTAAATAGGCCAGGTCTATATAAAAAAAAAAAATATTTAGGTCTGACCTGGCTTGTTAGCCTGTGTTGGTCTAAATTACAAGTCTGACTTGATCTATATTTAAAAAACAAAAACTTTAGCCTAGGTCTGTTAGCTTGTTTAAGTCTATTAAACATTCCAAAATTAAAAAAAAAAACTAAAATAATATTTATTTATTATTCAAAATTATTAAAATAATAATTTTATTTATTTTATTTAAAATAAATAATATGATATAAGTCGGCCTATAGACTTATAGGCTCAAGATATACAGAAAAGCATATGACCTGCTTTTTAAATAGATTTTTTTTTTAAATCTAGGCATGTTATATTTGATATTTTGACTATTTATAATAGACCAAACTTTGCCTAATATAAACTAGGCCATAAGCTCCAGTAAACCCATTTACGACCCTACTTGTAACCTCCTCTCTTTACCCTTTTATTTCCACTCAAAATCAGCATATCCAACATAAGCGATATATCGCATGTTAAATGATCATCACTAGATAGATATTAGCACTTCTGTTCGCCAGACGCTTTTCGTTAGCAATGCAAATTTCTTAGATTAAGTAGCTATATTTTTATTTGTTTGTTTTGGGCTAGACTTAACATAAGTGATATATCGCATTGTCTTTTAAAAATAAAGAGTTTTATAATTTTCAGAATTGAAATTTTCCTACACACCCTTCGATTTTGTGCAGACATGGATTCTACATATAATTTTTTTTAACATATGGGTCCAACATGTTTTTTGTCTCTATAACATAAGATTTCAATTCTCATTCAACATGATAATTATAAAACCCAAAAATAAATAAAAGAATAATATAATGAAATAAATTTATATTTCAGTTAAAATATTTAATAATTTTTTAATTCTGATGCAAAACCTCAAATGATAATTATTTTAAAAGTTAAAACGTAATAAGCAAAGTAAATATTGGCTCTGCATTTCATTTTGTGTGAGTCACTGAGGTGAGTGGCTGAGATCCAATCCAATTAGGTTGCGGCTTTCAGTTTGCAAAAGAAAGTAAAGAAAATTAAAATATTCAATCTGTTACTGTAATCATCTTTGAGCCCAACTTTCTTTCACAATTAAATATCAATTAATTCTTATGTCATGCAATCAGCACCTCCTTATTTCCTGCTGTGTAAACCTTAAACTCCTTCTATAAAGGCCGTAGAGTAGTACCCCACACAATCATGTGCAGATTCCAACTAAAACAACAATGGCTCAATACCATAAGCACGTCCTATGCTTCGTATTAAGTACTCTAGCAGCTGCTTATGGCAGCATGGCAATGGACTATGTTGTGTCCAACAATGCTGGAAACAGCATTGGTGCTGCACGCTTTGACAAAGAAATAGGTGCAGAATATGCCAAGCAAACACTCAGCTCTGCCGCTGAATTCATAGAGAGCCTGTTTCAGCAGAACAATAATAATAATAATGCTGACAGCAAAAGTGTCCAAAAAGTAAGCATGATAGTTGAAAACATTGATGGGGTCGCATTTGCTAGCAACAATAACATTCATGTTAGTGCAGGCTACATTGAAAGGTACCCTGGAGATATCAAAAAGGAGATTACTGGGGTGTTGTATCATGAAATGGCCCATTTGTTGCAGAATGATGGAATGGGTGAGGCTCCTTCAGGACTCATTGAAGGCATAGCTGATTTTGTGAGGATGAAGGCTGGATATGCAGCAGAAAACTGGAACCCTCCATGTGTAGGGTATGATTGGTGCCAAGGAAACGAAGTCACAGCTCATTTTTTGAACTATTGTGATGGTATCAGAAATGGGTTTGTGGCTGACTTGAACAAGAAGATGAAGACTGGTTATAGTGAGAGTTACTTTAGTGAGCTGCTAGGGAAGCCAGTTTCTCAGCTGTGGAGTGACTACAAAGCTATGAATATGACCAACTAAGGAATCATTGGGTTGCGCTAATAAGAAAATAAGAAAATAAGAAAATAAGAAATAAGATGATGTATCTGTAATAACTGAACAAAGTTATGCTAATAGCCTAATATAAAGGGAAAAGAGTTCGTTTTCATCATACATCAACACTAATTTTAAATATGCTATCTTGTTATATGCCAGATTTGTTGTCTATTTCATCACAGAGCTAAAAAAAAAAAAAAGTACACATTCTCAAAGAAACCTGCTCCAAGATACCTTAGAATACCAAAGCCTTTCACTTATCTCAAGGCACATACAAGGCCCTAGAAAAGTTAAGGGCTCCTTTGCTACGCGGATTTTTAGGGTCCGTTTGACATGCAGGATTCTTGAGAATTCTCAGGAAATTGAATTTTTTTAAATTTTTAATTTTTAAATATTATTATAAATTGAATGTAAAAATTATATTTTTGAAAATTGAGATTCTTGGATAAATAAAAATTTCTCCTCTACTAAACGCCCCTCTTAGAGATTTTCGAAAAACTGAATTTTTTTAAAAATTTAATTTTCAAATATTATCATATATTGAACGTAAAAATCATATTTTTAAAAATTGAAATTTTTAAATAAAAAAAATCTTTCCTCTACCGAACGTCCCCTGAAAGTATTTCTTTAATCGTCAATAACATTTTTTTTTTAATTTCTTTCATAAAAAATTAATTGAACCATATATATATATATAGGAATATGATCCGTTTACAAACTTTTTTTCTTTCAAATTACACTAAATACGACCAGTCGTACACTGCATGATTAAAGTATGACCAGTCGTACTTATTGTAATTTGTAAACAAAAAAATTTGTAAATATAACTTGCCCCATATATATATATATATATATATATATATATATATATTGACACAGTTCTCACCATTCATTACAATTAAAATATTGTTAATTGTCCATTAAAATTAGAAAACTAAATTAAAAACGACATATAAATATAAAAAAATATAGATCAGTTATTTCTAATTTAACTCTTATACTTACAATAACTTCTTATCAGTTCCAGAAGTAACTACGAACAAAAAAATTAAAGTTGAAAATTTTACATATAGAAACTAAACTAATTTTTTTTATGAAAATTAAATTAAAAATAAATAACACTGGGACAAAAAATATATTTTACCTCCTGCCTGCAGGGTATGGCAGACCAATCTTATTATAACAGTTTTTTGCCCTTGTCAAACGTAGAAAAACCATTAAATAGTATCTGATTCTCCTATAGATGTTATTCTCTCATTATAACGGATTTAAATCCGAGAAAGCTTTGAAATTATAATACTGAATCAGTAGAAGCAACGCCTTATCGACAATAATTCATCATCATAGTAAAAATAATTTCGAATGGAACATTAGTTGATCACACAAAATTCTCACACATCACATCTAATGATGACGGAAGTACACTATTAGAAACTGTTATTAGTGGCAAATCCCAGGGAAAAGAGACAGAAAATTTTATTCTTTTTATACATAATGTTGACAGAGAAACAGTTATATATAGTAGTACAACACAGCCGAAATCTCAGAGGTAATATATTGGAAAATACGATACATGATGGAGTTAGTGATATAGCAAAACCTTGTGATGGCTAATATTGCCGAATAGCTGAAACAATTTCAGTAATGCCTTCAAATTTTCTTCTTTCTTTGAGAAGCATCTTAGCTAAATCAAGTGCCCGCCGTTCGCAGGTTGCCCGTTTACCAACATCAGCAATTGATTCAAAATCCTCAACATGTGCCACACCAACTATTCTCCTGTCAAGCAAATGCAATAACAGATATATTAATACATATATATTTGTAGAGCTATTCCCCGCATTTATACATATACAGATAAAATGAACAAAGAGAACCCATGTCAAATATCCAATTAGTTCCATTTGAAAAATCATGGACCATACTTTGAGATAAAAGCCTTGTTACATTAGTCACGGAAAAGGTCACCAAAACTTTATATGAAGATAAGCTCTAAAACTAGGTGTAATTAATCTTACTATGAAATGAAATGAGAGTGCAACAGTGAGATGTTGAAATGGAAATCTGAGGGATGAAATCACGGGAGAAGATACAAGGTAAAAATCACCAAAATTCTCTAGAATTCTTTATATTATGTAATATCAAATATTTCGTTACAAAAACATTATGTTTAACGCTGAAAACCTATTGGGAAATTAAACAGTCATTGCTTATTTCTAAATAATCTTGCAATGCAACCATAAATGACCGATTTATATCTAAGACGCCCACTCACGCAAGAGCCCGTTGGCAGCTTGAAAAAAGAATAATGCACATACACATTTTAACTTTTGCTAAAATTCAACATTTTTATTAGAAGAATGGAAGCCGCAAGCCGGCAATGATGAAAATCCGAACCACTTAGTTAAAAAGGCTATACCATATCAATGACCAACTTTTCTCACCATATCTTTCTTTGCTATAAGAAAAAAAAATTATTAGAGAAGGAGTGTCTTACCTTATCATTTTGGCAGCACCAAAACCAAGACTGTCATGAAACAAATCTCTCATGTATTTCTTCTGTACAAGCAACTGAACCTCAGGATTGTCATAGATTGCCGGAAGATATGCCTCGCCAGAACCATTTCTGTTCTCGTCCCAAAGTGCAGTGAATTTATGATAGAAAAGATTCCAAGTGTCTTCAATTGTCTTAAGAATCCACTCCTTGTATGCCTGCATAACATAGAGGGTTTTAACAACAAACAACACTCTTTTCCCCTATAATCAATGGTCTTCAGCAATTATTAAGAATTAGAGTTTATCTGTCAAATCTCATTATCTCATTCACCCTGCAATGCAATGCAATGCAATGCAGTAACTAGACTGAAAGGAAAAGACCTCCCAAATGAGGTGAAGATACAAAAATAGATAAACAATGTTAGTTCAGCTAACAGCAGAGAACTCCTCAACAAAGACAAAGGCAATAGGAGAGAAACAGGAAATATAGAAAGGGAACTCCCAAAAAGTAGTCAGTGTAGGAGAGCTGTCCAATCTAAATGCCGATTCCCTTAAACAGACCATGTGTTGAACAACAAAGTTAAACAATGAAAACGATTCTATCCCATAACCAAGTCTTCATTTGTTACTGGTGATGGGCTAAGACAGGTCATATTTCTCTGAAACTATCTCTAACGTTGTGTTTTGGATAAAGCATGTTAAAATTCCAGAAAATTAAAATGCAAGGAAATCTAATTGCATCATTTTAATTCCTTTCATCTGTAAAATAATTTGTTTGATATCCATTCGTAGAAATTGAAATTTATTGCAAAATCATACATAACATAAGCATTAAATTTTGTAACAAGGCCAATGCAAGATGGAATAAGTCAATGGAGAAGATCCAATGAGCATCTTCACCTTCATATTCATTAATGGCCTTATCAAATGCAAGGTTGTGAAGCACTTTGGTGGCAAAGGGATTAATTAGTTGGTTGTTGCTTGTTAGCTGGTATGGGATTTGAAGGTGTTGTGTTGAGCCATCATTGAGTTGTGGGGTTTGGTGCCGGATATTCCCCATTGTTTTGGCTGCCGGAAACACCATGAACGTAGGTTTTGCAATCATCCCTCTCTCTTCACCCAAATCCAGAAACACCAATTATTGGAAGAAAAATTTGCAGAAAGACGGTGAAAGCAAGAAAGAAGAAAAACCAGCACTGCATAGCAGATTTGAGCATGAAGGCATATCAAAAGGGAATCTGGAACTTCAGAAAGCTGAAATTTTTGGACGGATTTTCCAGGGAAAAGGTTGTGTTTTGTTGACAGAGGAGAGAAAGGGCGGCAAGCACTGTGCATTGCCCACAGGGGAGGGGGAGAGAGAGAGAGAGAGAGATAACAAGAATTATAGAAACTCTAACGAATGACATGGAATTCAAATTCTCTATTTTAGACAACAACATGCTCGATCAAAATACCTCAAAATCTTAAAAACTCTTATCTTAGATATCCAAACAAGATATTTCACAGTAAAGAATTTTAATTCCTCTCAATAAATACATTCCCATCTTAAAAATTCCTCATCCAAACACACTCTTAAGACTTCTCAGTTTCACATGGTATAATTCTGATACCTCATCAACATGCACACCAAGGGACCCTTCTCTTAATAAGGAAAATAAGGCACCAGTTATCAGCACCACACAGACAAAACAAGGGAGCAATACAAGTTAACTCAAAACAATAAATAAGTACAAAAGAAGCAAACATTGGAAGCTTCATTGCTGGTACAAATGACTTGATATCTCTAAAGATATGTAGGACTACTTGAAGATAGTCAGCCTCTGCCATGAAAACAAGCAACCAAAGTGAAATAAACCTTACAACATTGAAGAAAGAGACAGAGAATTTAAGGTTGTAACATAGGGTTAGATCACTAGAAACATATGGAAGACTAACAACAACAGAATACAAATAAGAGTACAAATACAAGTAGGTGCCACAGAAGATATGTAGAAAAAGAGTACCTACTTTTCGATCATTTTCTTGATTAGCATGTCCATCTTGCGAAAAGAAAGCCAAAATCAAGTTTCCCAAGAATGCTCCAATATCAAAACCCATTGGTCCATAAAATGCAAATTCTGGGTCAATAACTTGAGTTGATTTAGGAGTAACCATCACAGAACCAGTGTGTAGATCTCCATGTATTAGTGCCTGGGCCCTCTCACAGAACCTATAGGAATATGAAATCTTATTAGAAAAAATCTAACAACAAAACCACTGCATATAATGGGTAAAAAAGTGAGTCATAATACTTAGATTTCAGCTCAGCAACTTCAAGCTTCAGTAGATTGTCCTTCCGAACAGCCTCGGCATCATGATCAAGATAAGGGGAATTCCACCGATTATATTCAGAAACTTTATAAGGGTCAGAGAAAACAACCTGCTCAGTGAGCCTGCATAACTCCACATTTCCACAAAATTCGCCAACTGCACGAAGCCAGTATGAATTCAGGCTAATGATAGCATATCTTAAGGTAACATCAGCAGATAATTATATGTGCAAGAACTTTTTGTTGGGTATAGCTCATACTTCGGGGTGATGAGGGCCCGTAGAGGCTACGTACTGTTGGGCCTCTGATTTATTATAATTTTCTTAGTAGTTTGGGCTTGGGCCCATGAATAGTTGTTGTTAGGGTTTTCTAATCCTATTTATATTCTATTTATATTTTCCTTGTAAACCAAATGACTAGTAGCGAGTGGCGGTGAGGTGAATATAGTACAGACAAGCTGGACGTAACTTAAATTATGTGAATCAGGGTAAATCACTCTCTCTTCCTCTTTTTCGTTTTCCATTTGTGTGATTGTCGATTTCCAACACCTTTCTTATAGTCATAAGAAGAGCACACCATTTATTCCAGCCATTTTCAAACGAAAAGCTTAATAAAGAGGTAATTTTATTAATGACAAAGAAACATAGCACAAGCAACCACATCGGGGAACCAATGTTTCCAATACAAGAACAAAGTCGATCAAACACTCTCAGCTCAATTAATTTCTTGGACAGATTAAAAAAGATGATACTGTCAATCAATGAAGGAAACAAATAAACTTAAATGAAAAAAGTGACAAGGGAAAGGTCATAGTACCGTCACGTTTGTGCTCAGTAGTGGAGCGGAAAAGGAGAGACGTAAAGAAGAGTGTCTTTGCCATGAAATCAGCCATGTGCTCAGCCAGCAAAGGGTACACAACCCCAGCAATCAATCCTTTTCTGAGGATTATGTGTGGGGGTTCCACGTAACGCATACCGATCAAAGACATGGTACGGTCAAAGTGATACACTTCCGGAACATGCTCAGGGCACAAGCGACCTTCTTCTTTCAGCGCTAACGACTCAAAGTATGCTCTCTCCTTCGTCATTGGCCATGATTCCCCTATGCAACGAATATACGGAAGAGCCTACAACAACGCCACCAATTCCAAGACCCAAAAACAAAAGTTTGAACTTTCAAACAGAAAGCAAAAAATGAAACGAAATTCGCGATTGCCCATGATTTTTTGGAACAGTGGGTGGGTGATGGTAAGTGAAAATGTTACCTGTTTGATGACAATAGAACCTGCGGAGTTGACGATAATGTAGACAAAGTTAAGGTTGCCATCTCCAACTTCTTTGACAGATAAGTCATCAAATTTGTTGCCTAGCTTGGAGGAGATGGCAGGGACAGACTTTATGTATTCGATCAGTGTCTTCTCATCGAGAGGTCGGAACTCGGAAAAAGCCATTGTAGCAGTGGTGGTGGTGGTAGGGTTTTAAAGAGGGAGAATAGCAATGGTGCTCCAATGTGGAATATTTGTAGCTATTGCGTTTTACTTTTCGGAGGAGAGACGCTACCATAGGTGGATTTTAGCAGGGCCAAGGAGAGGTGATAATAATATGACTAATTAGTGATTGAAAGACTTTTGGGAAAAGAAAAATGAAAGTGCAATGAATCTGGTCAGAATTTTGATTAATCAGTTATTAATTTTGTTTGATTTACAACTTATGACCTATCTTAAGGAATGCACCAGGCTAATTTTGATCAAGTTTTGTTATAAGAGATTGAAAAAAAAAATTAGATTTTATTTATACAAATATGTAAGGCTGCTTTCATGCTTGGAAAATTGATATTGCTATCCAAATATTGTCAACTTTGAAGAGTCATGTGGAAAAAAGTGTTTGTTATTTTAAATAATATAATTTTGTATTATTTTTAATGAAATTATATTGTTTTAATGTATTTTTTATAAAAAAGTTTGTAAAATTAGAAAGAAAAAGAAAGTAGATAGAAGAGAGAATAAAAAAATACATCAAATTTTATTAAAAATAATACAAAATTATATCATTTAAAATGACACAAAATTATGCCATTTAAATTATAAATATTTTTTTCCCTTTGATTATATAACTGATAAATCAGACCAGAGTTTAAATTATGTGTTTTCAAAACAATGAATTAGTGAAATTACCAAAAAAACAAAAAAAACAATGAATTAGCCACAGGAACATTACTCCAGAAAATGCCACGTGTGACAAGCTAAGTCTAATTTTTTTAATATCGTATCCAAATGATGGCATCAAAGAAGCCTTTCTTAAAATAAAATTGAAAAAATAATTAAAAGTAAACCGTACAGATTTTGATTTGCACCTAATTTATTTATTTATTTTGTCGAATAAAGTTCGATTTAGTTTGCACACAAATTAATGTCAAAATCTTTGTTTGGTCAAAAGCATTTTACTCATGTTTAAGGTGGCGTTTGGTTGGCGTCTTTATCCAACTTTCCAAGGCAAGTGACAAAAAGATTCCATGAACGACGTGTTTGGTGAAGCTCTTTCAGACAAAAAACAAGCCATCCAAGTTGCGTAGGTTTTTGATTTGGATCCCAAAAAGATGACTTTTGACACTGCTTGAAAACCATTTTTGTATGTTGGTTTTTGTAAAACCACGGCAAAGTCACTGTTTGCTTAATTTTTTTGTAACCAATATACCTTTTTGTGGTAATACGGCTGTTTGTTTGTTTAAGATAAGGGTATGGGGATAAAATCATAATTTTATATCATTTACCTATCTATATTTTTTCCAAAACCAAACATAGGATTTCAAAATTTTCATATACTTTCCTGGTAAAATTTTATCCAACCAAACTACTTTTTTTTACATTTTCTTATCTATCTCACTTTATCTCACTTTCTTATCATTTTCCTATTAATTCAATTTCTCTAGTATTCTAAAAATTTCTCATCAACCAAACGCCACCTAAGAGATTTACTATGGTAATTGATTGTAAGCAACTAAAGTAGTTCAGAATTAAATATGTAACGTCTTCTTTTTTTTTCATGATTTGAAGTTACACAAAAATTTTAATTTAGTTTTAATAGAAAATACATGTATTCTATTATTAACAAAAGTTATAAAAAAGTTTCATTTTCTTTTTCCATACACGACTTATGAATCAAAAAGCTTTTAAGTAATAAAAAATGGAAAAAGTGTTTGTAATTTTAAATACCATAAAATTATGTCATTTTTTCGTATCAAATAATATAAATATTTTTTCGTAAAATAATCCACCAATAAAAAATGATTTATTATGTTTCTTAATTACTTATTTACCTTTTGAATTTTTCGTATTTACTCTTCTAATTATAATGAGTAATAACTTTCATTTAGGTGATGTCCAAAATTTTGAAGATAAATTTATGAAAAAAATATTTATTATTTTAAAGGACGATCATTTTAGTTAAAATTAATATTTTTATTTTAAATTTGAATTAAAAACAATCACGCACTTTATTTTTCTTGATTTGCATTGTATATCTCTTTCTCTCATTTAAAATGACACAATTTTATGTCTTTTAAAAAAAAATACCAAACTACCGAAAGGAAAAAAAAAAGGACAAACATCAAACTCTATTTTCCAGATTACATTTAGTAATGTCCCAAATTAATTTTTGCACACAGAAATAAAATTGACTTTTAACATGTCAAAGACACAATACCACCGATGTTATTAAAATCGGCTCGAACCGGCTGGATCGACCAAAACTCGATGAAGCAGTGATATAACTGGTTCGAGTCAAGCATTAGATCGGTCATGATCAGACCCGATAAAAACCAATTCGACTTAACCGACTTTTATCAAAATCAATAACCCGATTGATTCACAAATAAATCGGCGGGTCATGCGTTAAAAAAACCCTACTTCATTTTGCACTTTTGCTCAAAATAATTAAAGAAAAACTCTTTTCTTTCCTATTTCATCTACCTCTTCACGAGGCTCTTTGACCAATTGGAATTTTTTTAGATTTTAATTTATCAATTTGGTATTTGGTTCACAATATTTATCAATGGAGGTCATTTAGTGACGCGACGGGGACCCAGCATCACTGAGTGTCGGTACCATCCCCCTGCGTCACTCACACTCTTTTAATTTTATTTTATTTTTTTCAATTGAGTGACACCCCCTCCCTTGGGGCACTCACAAAATTGTGTCAAATGGCACAATCTCGTTAATTCCGTTAACGTAAAATTTCGGAAAGCCATAACTTTTGACTCGGGTATCCAAATCAGATGATTTTTTTTACTTCATTTAACTTTTCGAGATCTATGCAATGATCCCTCATTTGACATATTTTATCTCTCACAAACATAGTTTAAATCTGTAAAAAAGTGGAACTAGTGTTACAAATTTGAACTATGTTAATGGTAGATAAAATATGTCAAATGAGATGTCATTGTGTAGATCTCGAAAAGTTATGTGAAATAAAAAAAAAATCTCATTTGGATACCCGAGTCAAAAATTATGGTTTTCCGAAGTTTTATGATAACAGGACTAACGAGATATTGACACTTGGCACAATCTTGTAAGTGCCCCAAGAGAGGGGGGCCACTCAATTGAAAAAAAACAAAAAAAATATCAAAGAGTGTGAGTGACGCGGGGGATGGTACCGGCACTCAGTGACGCCGGTCCCCCGCGTCCGCGTCACTAAATGACTTTCATTTATAAATATCGTGAACCAACTACTAGATTGATAAATTAAAGGGATAAAAATCACAGATGGGTAAAAGATTCGTGATTTTGCTATGCGTCGCTCCCATTCATCACTGTATCAAAACAAAAACAATGGTTTTATTGTCTCGGTAACGGTAAGCCCTGTCAAATCTCTTTGAATTACATTAACGAAGCTAATGGAAACCGTGATTTTTTTTTTCACTGTCTTATGCTTCTTTTTTATTTACCATTTCCTTTATATGTTTTCGGAATGGTTGGGTTAGGGTAGCAATACACACAGCTATATGTCGCAAATGCAGTGAAATTAGGATAAGTTTACCTTTAACTTTTGGTTTATTTATTTTTATAATTACATTTTATAAACACAATTGCTTGGCCAGGATTTTCGATTTGTCATGTTATTAGGATATGCACACAAAGAAACATAGTTGTATTCTATGCTGAGTGCTGACTATATCTCTATTTGTTGTGGCATTACAATGCTAGAGTCTATGGATCGTGCTTTGATTGTGTATGGAAGAGCTTATGTTTTATGCATAACAAGTGTATAAGAATATTCACTCTGTTCAACTCCAAGCTTATGTGGTTCATCATTAGTTAATAGCATTAGTCAAGATAGAGCGAGGCTACTTTGTTTGGTGGTTTTATTTAATTACAAATTCTGATATTTTATGCTTCCCAAACACCACTCGCTCACCTCCAATGGCTGATCAGCTCTCCAATGATCAGATCTTTGCAACCATTGTTTGAGTTTTGGGTGTTTATTAGATTGATTATTGCAACTCATTGTTGTTGTTGCATGTTTCGTGTTTGTTCCCCTGCCCCCTTTGTTTTTTTTGTGTTTTTGGGGAAAAGAAATGAAATTTATGAAACTTTGTCAGCATATTACTTATTGCGGGCACAGGCAGAGGCAACGATGCGGAGTTGGGTTAGCAATTACTTAGCACTGCGTCATAGTGAGTGCTGATAAATTTGGTATATTTTTCTTAGATTTTGGTATAAATGATTTGTTACTTGTATATTGAAATTAAACTGGTAAATGCAATGCAAATTATTTTGTTTTTTAACATATTAGAATATTTGAAATTGATATCATTTTTGAGATGTATTTAGGTATGTTTATGGATTTTTAAATATAAAATATTAATTTATATATATTTAACTGGATCAGTAGGGACTCACTAATTAAACCATTAACCTAGTAATTTAATACCCCATTGGGTCAATGATTGAGTCAGTTTTGATAACATAGATACTGACACCACCATGGGATGCTTTTTATTAAAACAAAAAAAATCACATTCGAGGTAATTTACATAGCGTTGCCGGTTTTTTCTTTCTTTTTTTTAAAATTTTTAAAACATTAAAAAATATTATATTCATCCATACTAATAAATTTCTTAAATTATTATAATTGAATTGTTAAATTGGGTTCACATGACGAACTGTTAATTTTCAAACATATAAATTATTTATTTTTTACATAAAAAATATTATTATTATGGTGTTTATTAGCTTTCATATTAAAGAAAGAGTTTAGTTAAAGCGAATGAGAAAATTAGAAAAAATAATAGTAAAATTAATCATAGAATAAATAAATTGGATTTATGTTTAATTATTTTATAATTTATTTATAAATTAATATTCATAACATTGTATTATTAATTTAAATAAAGTTATCCAATGAATTATTACCAAAAAAAAAAAAGTTATCCAATGAATTGAGCTAATTCGTTCGAATTAGCTCCCTTTATTTATTCAGGCCAACTCGTTCAACAAAAGATGAGAGACCATACGGCCCAAAAGCTAATGCGAGTTGGATCAAATAACATGAAATGAACTGAGATAGTATTACGATAGGTTCTCTTGTTAGTTTGTTACTTGGTTTGTTAGTTTGTTAGTAGGTTTGTTCTATGTTTGTAATTTAGTTTTAGGTTGTTGATAAGTTTGTTCTATGTTTGTAATTTAGTTGCAACTCTTCCTTTATCTTAGGAACAGATTCCTACGTATGTGTATTATAGTTAGTTGCTGATAGATGTATTTAAATGACCAATACATGAATAGAAAGCGAAGCTGTTCACTCACAACTTCCTTTATGGTATCAAGAGCTAGACGATTCTAAAGTCAGTTTTTTTTTTTCCACTATGGCTGCCTCCACTCTTAAAATCACAGACCCAAAATCACCATTTTACCTTCATCCCTCTGATCACCCTGGGGTTATTCTCACTACTGTCCTTCTACGTGGCCAATCCAATTATGAAAACTGGTCCAAACTCATGGTCCAAACTCATGAGCAACGCCTTGAAAGCCAAAAATAAGCTTGGCTTTGTTGATAACAGCGTTACGCAACCCTCTGATGCTTCCTCTGATGAAGCTCATGCTTGGTCCCTGTGCAACTCCATGATGCGAAGAATCTATGGGATGATCTAAAGGAACATTTTGCTGTTGCAAACATTCCTCGTATTTTTTTTCTCAAATCTGCTCTCGCCACTATGAAGCAAAATGGCGTCCCTGTTACTGACTATTACACTAAACTTCGTTCAATTTGGGATGAACTGGAATCAAGCCGCAAGCTTACTGCATGTGCATCTGGTGATACGTGTGCCTTTACCAAATCTGTCACTACTGAACTCGAACATGATCGAGTTTATCAATTCCTTATCGGACTTGATCATCATATATATGGTACTCTCATTACTCAAATTCTCAACAGCAATCCTCTCCCCACTATCAATCGTGTTTTTGCTATGGTAATTCAAGAAGAATCCCATAAGGCTATGGTTCGGACTGCTGAAATTCCATCTGATGCTCTCGGCTGTGCTCTTCACACTGCACCACTGGATCCTTCCAAGGCCCGCATCATATGTTCCCACTGTGGACGTCCCAATCATGACGCTTCCCGGTGTTACAAACTTCATGGTTACCCTGATCGCATGACTGCTGGAAGAGGACATGGTCGCGGCCGCTCCAACCCAGGACGTTCTGCCCATGCTTCTGCTCATGCAACTTACTCGGATGCATTACCTCCTCCTACTGGTGTCCCAAAACCATTGTCTGCTAATCTTACTCCTGATATGGTTCAACAATTAATGTCTCTTGCTGTCTCATCTAAAGCAACAAACTAACAAACCAAGTAACAAACTAACAAGGGAAACCTATGGTAATAAATAGTTTAACAAAAACTATAATATATAGATAAATTTTGGGCCGATCCACAAAAATTTGTCATGCCAGATGGATTAGTAACAAAATTTTCTTATATGTATGTATATTTGTTACTGAAACTCTAAAATCTAAATCATTATTGATCCCCAATAATACAATAGAAAATTAAAATAAGAAGTTTGTAGCATTCGAAAATGGTGGGAGCAAGCACGTCACATTGCGACAAACGAAAAAATAAAATAAAGAAGGCCCTGAATGAGTATAGATGGAGAAACTCAATAATTTGAATTTCAGGTCTTGTCCTTCACTACTCTCAAGTCTCAAGTGCGCTGGAATTATTTGTCCAACCCGCACCTAGCATTTTCATTTTTCACCTCTTGATATTTTCAGTTACATACGTTGTTCCATGAAACTTCCCCAACTAAACTGCTTCGAAGATTGCAATAAAAATACATGCAACGGAAACTTATTTTCGAAGGTTGCACGACCTCAAGGAGTTGTTAGTTGAGTGTGTTTGAAGAAATTATGGAACGTTTAATTAAACGCCGTTGATGCCACAACTTTTAACCTCCTTAGATGCAGCAAAATGTAATAATAACCTTTTTAGATATTTGATTTAGAGAATTTTTGCGCGTCCTTTATAAATTAGTGTTAAAAAATTAGAAATATTATTTTAGCAGAATAAAAAAAAACATAAACAAATTAATATATCAAATGAAAAGTTTCTCTTGTACTTTTACGTGTTTTGAAAATACCTATATCTCTCAATAATTATATATTTTACTTAATTAAAAATATGAATTTTATATTTTAAATAAGGAAAAAACTATTCTTATGTCACATGACATAAATTTTCTCTCCTACACATCTTTCGATACTGTGTAACCTTTTTTTTATTTTTTCAAGTGATAAAATCTTCTAATTTATCTCTATGACATAAGATAACTATTTTATTTAACATGAGATTAATAAAACTCAATAAATAAATAAGAGAAAAAGATAAGCAACAATTTCAACAAGTCTTATTGATTATCGAACACACGAGCGAGCAGGAGTAAAGTAAGTGTTAACTAACGGAAAACAGTTGCCTGGCAGCCAGGCTATGGTGGTCTTATTTGGTAGTTTTATAGATGACGCGCTGTGAGAAGCGCGTGGTGAATTATCTGGCAAAACGGCATGCATTATATAAGCGTTGCCGTTTGATACCTAAAATTGGTTAAGAATTGAGAATCAGGGGATGGGGATGGGGAGGTTGTTGGCGACAGTGGCCATAACAGTCTCAATACTGTTGGCAGACATCGCTGACGCCTTCGACGGTGGAAGCCACCCAAAAGAACGACACAGTTTGTGTGAGGAGCTCATTATCCCCGCCGGTTACCCCTGCTCCGAATATACGGTACTCTCTATCTTTGTTACCAAACACCCTTCATTCAATTCAATGCCCTACACTCCAAAATCAAGCTTATGTCATTTTTATCCACTGCATATCACATCAAATTAAGTCAACCCTTTTCTTTTTTTTTTTTTTTTTGGTAACACAACCCTTTTCTTTTATATATTTGAAATTAGTATCATTTGCAGTTGCAGGAATAGAGCATTTTGTGTTTTTATTATATCTTCGTGTTCTGTGTTATGGTTAATGATTAATGGCTAAGTGGTGGGTTGTTTTATGACTTTCAGATTCAAACAAAGGATGGTTTCTTGTTAGGTCTTCAACGTGTCTCTTCTTCCTCTCCTCGTCTTCGCGCTGGAGAACGAGTTCCTCCGGTTCTGCTTCTGCATGGGCTATTCATGGTCAACATTCCTTCGCATTATCTGCTCTCAATTTACTCTTCCTAATGCCAATATAATATGCTTCGTGTATGAGATCCAACTTTTATGTTTGAAATTTCAGCTTTCTGTTTTCTATCTTAACACAATTGGCTGAGAGATTCCACGATCTTTCGGTGACAATGTTGCGTATTGCTAAGTTTCAGCTATTTATCTTTCACTAGTGAAGATAACATATTTATCGAAATGGGATAGTGATGTATAAAGCTTGTCATAGTGTGTTTAGTGAATTTCTGGAAGGGGGCAGAATTGCTGAGAGATGACATACGAGAAGGGAGAGAGAGGCGAGAATAAGAGATTGATAGAAAAAAGAAGAGATTGAGACAATGATTGGAAGGAAGTAATTTCTTCTTGTTCATTCTATATAGGGGTCGATACCTAAAACACTATAGCAATATAGCGGTATTGTTACAATGAAGTCCACTTAACTGCAATACAAAATTCTACTACACATATATAAATAGTAAAAAATAAATAAAAATTACCCAATACTTATATTACACATAGTTATCATTGGATGATGATAGGACTTGAGTGGGTTGCAGAATTGCTTGAAATACTGAAGCTAAATAGAGAGTAAGAAATTCTGGGAGCTGGAAATATGAAAAATATGTTTATTTGACAACTCGAGATAAATTGCAGATGGAGGATAAGTCTAGTTATCTTTACGTAAGGTACGGATCAGGTGAGAAAGAGAAACTTAACTTACTGGCTAATTGTGTGTCGTTATCGACATTGACGAGTGGGTCGCTGGAAAACAAAGGAGATCATTCACCGATGTTGATGGATTGTTTGTTGGAAACAAAATTCACGTGTGAGTGGGAAGTCCTACGTTGGTTAAAACTGGACCAAGTGAGGATCATATATATACAAGTGGAAAAGAACCATAGACTCACCGCCTTAAGATTTTGGATTGAGATGTGATGTTATCCTGCTTATTATGGTTTATCATTTACCCCATTAGTGCAATTATCCCTTGCAAAGTGTTTTGAGCTCCCCCGTATCATTCTAACGTTGTTACGAAGTCCAAGAAAGGAATGAATGGCTTTTTGGTAAACCATAAAAAATGAGCTGTGAGAGTGAAGAGAGGCAAGAGGAAGGGTGAGAGAGTCACAAGAATGAGAGAAGTAGAGAGGCATACCAGATAGGATTTGTAACTTAAAAAGCGGTAAAAGTCGATTGTTGCCCTTTCGTCACTATAGTGATGCAATCGCACTATGGTCATGATCCACTACCCGCGATTGCCGCTGCAAACCATCACATTGCGTAGCGGAAATAGTGGTTGGGAGCTGCTACCCGCACCTGTAACGATATAGCGCGCATAGTACCGCCATTAATAATCTAGCTTTGAAATAATAAAAAGGAAAGCAAAGAAATGCTAATGCATACTAAAAGGGTTAAGTTGATAAATACTAATGCTAATTGATATTACTAATTGATATCAATCTAATCCTTTTATTAATGGAAGCTAGTAAATGTTAACTGATATCACGCGAAGACCTTGGTGTGTAACATTACTTTCCTCATGGGGACACAACTTGTCCTCAAGTTGAGACACTACCTATCAATGGTTTAAATGGATCTAGCTCGATAGGCTCGGGAGGTAGCAAGTTGTCTTCCTTGTAGCAAAGACCTTGCAAATACAAAAGGATTGGACTTTTGTCAAGTGTTTGATGGGAAGCCGTTTGACAAGGGACTGGAAGAAGGAAAGGGTTGTCGGAATTGGTGTTGCCGAGGGCGGTGGCTAAAATGACCAGTTGCTAAGGTGCGCCTGTTTGAGTTGAGATTAGGCTCGTATATGGACAACAATGCGAATGCATCATACAAGTCTATAAAACGATGAGTTTGGTTCGCTATGCGCACTTGAAGTTGTAAGCCGTAGATAAACAAGCTGCACAAATGATCTTAAGAGAGACCATGAACCTGGCTAGCAAGGTTCTCAAAGGTGACTTGGTAATCGTGGACGGAGTCTATATGTGATAGCTTGGCAAGGAGGCAGTGGGATTTTCGTACTCGAAGGGATTAATTGGGTTGTACTTTATTGGCTTGGTAATCGAGGACAGAGTCTATTTGAGATAGCTTGATGGAGAGGGTGGTGTGATCTTCATACACTGAACAATCAAAACGGCAACAGATGGCGCAAAAAAATGCATCCCAATAGGGCAAGAGGTTATTAGTCGCCATACCTTAGTACCAAGCGGCTGCAGGTGCATTGAGATGCGTTGCGGGCAATAGCAGGCCAACAACACTCATGTATGCTTACCGACACGATTTAATCATGCAAGTCTGGTGCCAATGAGCTTGGACCGCCATGCGCACTTGAAGTTACAAGCTATGCAAATGCTATTGAGAGAGACAACAAAACCTAGTTGGCAAGGTTTTTGAAAGGAAAGTTACAGGATCCTTATACTTGGAGGAACCAAAGCAGCGACGGATGCCTCTAACAAATGCATCCTAATTGTGCTGGAGGTCATCAGCCGCTAGACCCGCCAAGTCTTCGAACCAAATGGATGTAGGTGCATTGTGGTATGAATGTCAACTCAATAGTTGAAAAGGAATACGTTTGGATCACCTGAGGAAAAAAGTGGGCACATTTTGATATAAGTGTGAACTTATGATGAATGGTGCCAAGAATGCCCTATCTTGAATCAATTGGCAGTGGTGGCAACGAGGTGCTGATCACGTTTTAATGCCATGATACTTTCTGCCGAGAGTTGGCTGGCTTGGAAGTCTAGGAAATCCTGGCATAATTGTTCGACGGTAGCGGTTGTTGCACTGCTTGCAATTGAGCATTGTACTCTTGAAAACATGTTGCTGGCACGGTGGAGTCAAGATTGGATGAAAGCACCAGTTGTTTAGTGAATTTTTGGAGAGGACGAAACTGCAAAGAAGTGATGGAGGAGAAGGGGGATAGAGATGCGAGAATGAGAGAAAGATTGGAAAGAAGTAATTTCTTCTTGTTTATTCCATACAGCCATTGTGCCCTTTATAGCAAGGATTTGAAATACTAAAAGTTAATTCATACTATAAAAAGGTAAAGCCAACCATTGCTAATGCTAATTGATACTAATAAGGACTAAGTGATACCAATCTAATCCTTTTATTAATGGAAGCTAGTAAATGTTAATTGATATCATGCAGACACCTTGGTGTTTAACTTAGTGGTTATATTTTGATGTCTAGGTATTTGATTGTATAAAGTTTGAACTGTTGTAACTCAGTCCACTTTGTCAAATTTGCATAGTTTTTGGGATGTGTTTGGATTAGTGTTAACACTTCAAAACATTTGCATTATATTTTAAACTTGCTTTTTTTGGGGGAAGTAGGTTTCTTTTAACTCTCTTTGGTGTGAAACTCCTTTTTAAGTTTTAAACGGTTTGATTGAATCTCAACATTGATTTATTGAAGCCATTTGATACAATCAGGCAGGTGATGCATGGTTTCTAAATAATCCAGAACAATCATTGGGGTTCATCCTTGCAGATCATGGTTTTGATGTTTGGGTAGGAAATGTGCGTGGAACACGTTGGAGCCATGGGCATATATCTTTATCAGAGAAGAATAAGGTGGGTGGGTGACTTGCTTTATCCTTTATGTTATAAAGTATATCGAGCGTCTGTCAACTGCGTGTGATAGTTTTTATCGTTTTATTATTATAATGAATAAAGCTGATGGCTTTTTGTAACTGTAAAACAAGGGAGAAACATAGAATTAAATGGGAAGACTATTTTCTTTTCTCTATAGTGTCGCTAAGGGTGTATTTGATAAATCTAAAAATTTTAGCATTGAAAGTTCTCTAAGTTGTGAAACAACTAAATTTTTATTTTATAATGTTTGAAAAGATCTGTAAGTTCTGAATGTGTATTAAGGGAAACTATTGGCATTTAATAATATAAATGAGGTCATACCAAAGGTAGCTGTATCATTTAATAATTTTAATAATTAAGGGTTGCTACTTAATGTTTTCAGCACCTTTCACTTATATTAATTTTGGTAGGCATTAAATAAGCACCGATAATTTATTTTTGGTGCAGAAACCACTCATTTTCAGTACCAATTTGAGTTTTTAAACAGACCCCTAATATAAGGGGGTACTGATGATGATCACAAGAAGGGAGAAGAGGGTGGGGAAGAAGCAATGCTTCGTCCAAGAGACTGTTGATACCTATAGATCTTAGGATTTTCGATCACTATGTCATTTTTAATTGTATATTGTCATGATTCTAGTATTTTCATTTCAACGGTGCTTAACTATCTTTGGTGGAACTGTTGGAGCCATATTTTTTATGATTTCATATTGAAATTTATACTATTTTTTTCTTTTATCTAAATTTATTTTATCAGTCTGTAATACATTTCACCATGTCTGTGATGTGAGTCATGTGACTAATTGAGCTTTGGTTCCTTTGTAGCATTTTTGGGATTGGAGTTGGCAGGAATTAGCCCTGTATGATGTTGCAGAAATGATCAATTACATTTATTCAGTTACGAACTCAAAGCTATTTGTAGTTGGGCATTCACAGGTATATATGATTCTTGTACATCATCCTTTTCACCTGCTATTTGGTGGTCGCTATAGCATACATTTTATATATTTCTCATCGTTCTTAGGGGACAATTATTTCTTTTGCTGCCTTCACTCAACCAGAGATAGTAGAAAAAGTTGAAGCTGCAGCTCTTCTATCTCCAATATCATACCTGGATCATGTCAGTGCACCTTTAGTATGTAGAATGGTTAAAATGCACATTGATCAGGTATTTATTACTTTGTTCTATTAATTTTCACTGTAAAAGTGAATCTTTGAGATGAGAAATGATTACTGGTTTTGTTCAGATGATTCTTGCCATGGGCGTTCATCAACTGAACTTCAAAAGGTTTTAATGTTTAAATTTTCCTTCTGTCCTGTTTTTTGCTTTTTCTTTTGCATATTTTCTTCAATGTATTTCTAGTTTAGCAAATGTTCACTTTATATATTTTTTAACCCATTTTCAGCGAATGGGGAGCCAGTCTCTTGGTTTCATTATGTGATACCCGTCTCAGTTGCAATGACTTGCTGTCATCCATAACAGGTTAATGTCTCTCACTCTGGCTGTGTCTGTCTGTCTGTCTGTGTTTAGAAGGATTTGACTGAGTTCTCATACTTGGCTGTGAATGTTCTTGCTGGTTTATCTGTTTGTTGAGACTCCTATTGTCTTCTCCAATTTGGAGAACTCCAATCTGTTGTGTTTGTGATAGTGCTGAACTGTTCAATCCAAAGAGTGTTCTCCACATAATGGAGTTTTCTATTTCTTTTTTCTGTTGGAGGATTAAGTGAACAGCGGATTAGTTTCTTTGTTCTGTGTTGTATTCGCTGTTGTAAGCTTGTCCAGTTATCCATTACTGAGGCTGAGGCATCTTGTTTTTTCAGTTGATATGGCCATAGATATAGGTGAGTGGGCATTATATGTGGAGACTATTGGACTATTCCTCTCTGTGTGCAACGAAAGGCTTTCTCAATCTTTCCTCCCATACCTCATTGAAGTGTCAGTACTCAGTAAAGATAAATTGATTTTTGCAGCGTTTTGTGGAACCAGGATACTTCCTGCTGTTAAATGCCAGAGATTTACTATTTAAATCATGACTGAGTTTGCAAATGAATTCAACTTGGTCCAAAAAGAAGATTGCCAATTTCTCGATTTATAAAATTTCTCTCCCCACTCAATTTATATTGCTGGATCATTGAGTTGGATATTGTATGAAATCTGTATCTAGAGTGTGGAGGGGGGAGCCTTCTCTGATTTAACCGTTAATATTTAGTTTAGTCAAAAGATTGTGTGGCCAACAGACTGTTCTGCCCATTAAGTCAGTGTGCAAATTTATAACTCTATCTGATTTTTCTTAATCACTAAATTATTGCCAATCAAAACTTGAGATTATGAAATCATTGTGGTAGGAATATACTCATGAAGGTGTATGTAAGGTGGGTAGTAGGGGATTATGTTCTACCAATGAGGTGGCATAACTAACTTTTGGAGGGAAAATAGAATATTCTTGGAGGTTAAGCTGACTATAAGATGAGAATGTGAAGTGTGTGAGGGTATCTGGGATATATTTTGGAATTGGGACCTTGGGAGAGTGTGTGGCCTCTCGAATTCTTCACTCACTGTTATGTTCCTTATGTCATTTTATCCTTTCTTTCATGTCATTTGGATATCTAGAATTTCCCTTTTGCAGTAGATATATGATAAGAATCCTAAAAGGAGTCTTATCAATATATTTCCATCAGTGGTAATAGTTTTATTGTTAATACATATATCAGAAAATCTGGATTTCCAGGCCAAAATCTTGTGTTCTGTTATTTTTAATTGATTTTGGAGTTGGGTTCCTATCAAATTGTCATGCATTTATTTCTTTCATTGAATTGAATTTGCACTTCAATGTATTGCATTTGGATTGTGTGTGTGAATCCTTATGTGCATTATCGCCCAAGGATGGAAAAAGTTGTCAAGGATAAGATAACAGATTAAAAGGCCCCTTCAAGTAATGTCTTTTCTGTATTGTTGCTTCGGCTTGCTGCAGTACTAGACTTGCAGCTTAGTCTGTGGAGGAAATAAAGTTATTCCTTGAATGGAGCTTAGGAAATACTTGAAAGGAAAAAGAAGGAGTGGCATTCATGGTATGGAACTATGGATGATGTGGACGTGGTATTATACATGGTCATTTGTTTTGTTTTTGTCGAAAGCAAGAAATTTATGGCGTTTTATTATATATTTGTATTAGAAATTCCTGGTTTAATGGAATGGAATTTCTTGATGGGTGAGATCGGAATTTGACATTCCTCTTGTTTTTAGGTGCTTATGAAAGGGAGTTATAATAAGTATGAAAAGTAAACAAACAAAAACAATAAGGTGTCCTTCCCTTAAAAAAGTAATTCTTGCCATTGCAATTAGTTCACTGGCTTTACCTGAAACATATTGTGGTTATCACACTGTTCAGATCGACTGGTTATATTGAAGGTCTTGGCATAATTCAAAGGATATTTTCTCTCTGCTAACTGATTATCTATTTCAGTATCATTTGGACTAAATAATTGGGAAGTTGCTCACTCATTCATTTTTCAATAGTTGTGTTTCTTGTTGTTTTCTTTCTTTTTTGATAAATGCTTCTACTCAAGGCACTTCATTAAAATTACAGGGAAGAATTGTTGCTTCAATGAGTCACGTGTGGCTTTTTATCTTGAACAAGAACCTCATCCGTCGTCCTCCAAAAACTTGTGCCACCTTTTCCAGAGTATGCTCCATTATCTTCATTTGGTAGCCTTAAGTATTTTTCCTCTGGTAACGTCTGATAATATGATCATAACATTTGCATGATGTGAAGTAGCTAAACATGCCTTTGTAGGGACGGGAGAAGAAATATTGTAAAATAGGTCCGAACTCAGAAGACAACGTTTTGCTTCATGTACATAAGCCAGGGCAATGAATTTGACAATTTGTCTAGATGTCAACCTTAATTCTTGTTTGTTTGTTCGTTCTATTATTATCACTATTTTTATGATCCGTAGTATTGTTTACCTCTTCATGAGTATGATTGTTCACCAATTTAGGACTTGGTAGCATGCATCAAAGTAATGCTCATTACAAATGTAGGTTAACGAGACTAGGATGAATTGGATGATTTCCTCTAATGGGCCAGTATTAAGTACAAACTTGCAAGAATATTAGTTAAGCAATTCTGCTATATTTTCTTCTTCTTTTATTTTTGGTAATAAATATTCCATTACCTGCATAGGATAGAGGCTTATGTTGGGTATGACATGTTTTATCTCGCCAAAGACCATATCACAAAGATTAGTTACTAGTTAGCAACTGCCATCACTTCTCTGGCTGATGGTGAACCAGCAGATGGGTGGACTGTAATTCTTTTACTTTTTTTGTAGTAGATTAAAGTTTAGATTAGGGGAAGACATGCTCTATGGTGGGATTGCATATTGCCTGCCAAAATGGAAAACTTGAGAATCAAACCCAAGCCATGACTAGCATAGGTGAAAGGTTCGAGTAGTGTTGATCCTCATCAGCTGTAATTCTTTTATTTATCAAATATCTGATTATTTCCAAGAGCATGTCTTTTGAACTTCATTCAGAAATTGCTAGAAAGACATTAAGTTTGATAATCTTCTTTCGCTGTGTTATTCGCTCAGGCTTTTACTTTTTGTATGATAGTTTATAAGTGAGTATTCATGTGCTATAATCTTCTTAATGGTTCTTCTCTGATGAGTCCATTTGTTCACCAGTGATCCGCAAAGGTACATTCTCCAAGTATGATTATGGAAAGCTCAAAAATCTTAAAGAGTATGGCAAGTTGAAACCACCTAAGTTCGATCTTAGCCGCATACCCAAATCATTGCCTCTGTGGATGGCTTATGGGGAAAATGACGCTTTAGCAGATATAAATGATTTCCAGCACACTCTCAAGGATTTGCCATCCACACCGGAGCTTGTTTATCTTAAAAACTATGGTCATATTGACTTCATTTTAAGTTTGCAAGCAAAACAAGATCTTTATGATCCTATGATTAGTTTTTTTAGGTCATTGGCCAAATTTAGTAGTATGTAAATATTGCTTCCTTCCTGTATAATGGATGTAATATAATATGGTCTATTGGTCCATGGATTATTACACTTTCTGTCTGTACAGATGATGAAAGATCGACAAAGAATCCATGGCGTTGCATGGCGCCATATTTCTGTAATATCTGTAAAGCATCCTGTATTATTTTTTTACCATTTGGGTTTGCCATTAGCCGGTTTGGTAAAGTTAAAACCATTCATCATTACAGAGAGAGAGAGAGAGAGAGAGGTTAAAATTTAAAACCAAACAATAAAAGGGGACAAAAAGTTAAAACCACTCGATGTAGATGTAGAAGAGATGAACTGCTCCCGTGGGGTTGAAGATTGGGATGAGCTTTATTACTCTCAATAATATTATGCCGGTAAGTAAGTAAAACATCATTTATTATTTGATTACATCTTTACTTTATCCTTATAAAAATGTAACATAAAGGTTAGCCAAAAAGTTTAATCACCTTGAGAGGTGTATAAAGAAGTAATTTTCAAGTAAAACTTAACACAGTATGAATTAATGGTGACGAGTGCAGGTATAATCCCGATCGAATTATGTTTGATGATTCTCTGGGGATATCCTTTCATAGCCAACATCGTATATTCTGAAAAATTAAATAACTTAGCTTTTATAACTAAATATGGACTTTCAACAAACCATCATTAAGTATCTATGACAATTCAAAAGGCTAAATCATTAGGGTGTCTCCAGTGTCTAATTAAATACAGAGCATCACGGATAGTTCGTATGCATTTATTATTATGCTTCCAAAAAGAGACAAACCCTACTCGATTGGAAGGGATTCCTACCAAATTATTCTTTAGCACGTGCATCATAAATTTTCATGTCATATCTTAACAGCGCCACGTTTCTTAATATCGTCCGCAAATTCATTAATATTTTTGTCGGAGGAGCCACCGGCGGCCACTGCAGCCTCTGCTGCCTTCTTCCACTTCAATGCTTTTTGCTTCAACTCCTCTGCTTTTGGCCCTAGTGTTGCTTCCAGCAAGCACTTCTTCACCTCATCTCTGGTTACCAATTTTTTTTCGGCCGCGCTATAACCCAATCTAATACCAACCCCAAAAACATCTACCAAGAACTTTGCGTTTGTGACTTGGTCACCCCATGCTGGAAATGTCAACATTGGCACCCCTGAAGTGAGTGCTTCCATTGATGAGTTCCAACCACAATGTGTCATGAAGCACGCCACTGAAGGATGAGCCAACACTTCTTCTTGTGGACTCCACCGTACCATTTTGCCTCTGTCACTGGTTTCCTCAAAGAACCCTTCTGGCAGAACATGGGACTTGAGTCCCAGGTCCTCATTTGGTGGCTTTAATACCCACAAAAATGAGACTTTAGAGTTCAATAGGCCATGAGCAATTTCAGTCACTTGTTCTTGAGGCAGGTAAACAACACTCCCAAAGGAGATATACACCACAGATGCTGGTGGCCTTGTGTTTAGCCACTGGATGCAATCATCACTCTTCATGAAATCACCACGGATATCGCTTGTGCCTGGTGCTTTTGAAATCTTGAACAAAGGGCCAACAGACCTTATGGGGACAAACTTTGAAAGATAGTTGATGGAATCATGCTCTAGTTCCTCATAGGTGTCAACCAATACACAGAATGGTATTGACAAGTTCTTAAATTGTTGCAAGATGAGTGTCCCCAAAAATGGATATGGACTAAAAGGATGAAGAAAGTCTGGAATTTCATTGTATTTAAGGACTGTTGAAGGCAATTGAACATCAATATAAGGCTCAGCATCTGAAGGGAAACGCACCAGTTTGTGGAAATAACTATAGTAAGCGGTGAAGACAGCACAAGATTGAATCCACAACAGAGCAGAAGGAATCTCATGTTCAGCGGCTACATCACAAACCCATGGAATAAAAGGGTTGTTTATGATGCAGGAAATTGGATGTTTTGCCTCAACATATTTCTTGATCATTTGGGAAACATATGGCTTCCCAACAAGCTCAAGCTGTTCTGAGTAATCACTGAGACTCTTCCTCTTGGGATCCTCATCGGTCAAACCATCTTCAAAGAACTCGAACTTGAGAAAACCATCACCAATTGGAGTGACTAATTTGTCAGTGATGTTGTTAGCAGTTCGGATATCCTTACCAGCTTTCTCTGTGGTAGTGAAGGTCACAAACAAACCCTTTGCTGCAAGGGACTTGCCTAGTCTGAGCAGCGGGTTTATGTGTCCTTGTGCTGGATAGGACATCATGAAGACATGAATGGGAGCTTCAGAACCCATTTTTTCTTTTTCTTTTTCTTTTTCTTTTTCTTTTTTTTTCCCTCACTGCTTTTTCTCGGGACGTAGGCACTGCAAGATTAAATAACGGTGCCAATTGTAAGGTAGCAGTTATATACCCTCAACAACACCACATGAAAAACATTAATAGCGATTAGTATGTTGTTCGGTTCGACATGGATGAACCGTGTGTTTAATGTTCGGTCTAAGAAGGGAGGACCGTTTACAAATATATGTGGTGATTGCTTGACTCAACAAGATACCTTAGCTCACGATTTTGATGCTGAAGTCTATATATACAAGAGATGAAGTAAATATAAAAGGAAGCAGGTTCATATTTTAGGACATGAGTGTAATATATATGAACAATTGTGAAAAGTACACGGGAGTATTTAAAAAATGCTCAGATTACTTCACTCAACAGAATATACTGATCTACGGTATCGTGATGCTCAAGCCAGTATATATAAGAAGGAAAGTAATGTAAGGTAATATAAGGTAATAAATGGAAAAAGATATGGACACATCTTATATTCTTTTACTCTCACAAAGAGGTGAGATCTATATTTTTTTTAAAAAAAATCTCTATTCTCTTTTATGATTTATCTCTTCCTCTCATGTAAAATGACACAACTTTATATCATTTAAAAAGATATATACTTTTTTCCAAGGTAATATATATGAAATAAACAATTGAGAGTATGCATGATGTATGTAGAGAAGCATTTATGAAAGCCAGGGACACGCCGGAAACAAATAATGAAAGTTAATTATACGAGAAAAATGAATATTCGTAATATGTTATGTACCCGAGAAAAATAGTTATATTATTTTGCACTCAAATTTATTTTACACATTGAAATAGTCAAGATGCGTGTAGTGGTTGGTTAGGTTTTGACGCTTTAATTCGGATCGAAAATAAAAGAGCACATAAATTCCTTTAGTTTTTTTTATTTTATATATAGAGACACCAATCAGTAATCACAATCAAATAATAAAGAAAATTTATGGAGAAAAGGACTACTTTGTTCGGTGGTATATAAAATTCTACGTAAACAAACAAATATAATTGCGGCCAATGGCGGATCCACGTGCGGTCATAAAAAATTTTACTTCAATTTTTTTTTCTTTTAGTTTGGTGTTTATTTGTATCTTGATTCAATATATATATATATTAACAATAAATATTCTTTTAAGTCCTTAACAAAAAATATGATCCCTATTTTAGTTCTTTACGAAAAAAAATTAATCTCCTACAAATTTTAAAGTGAATCAATATAGTTAAAATTGTGGTCCCTCATAAATTTTAAAAAGACTTACATTCTCAAAAAGACCAAAATAAGTCCACTTTGAATTTTATATGGATCAAGTGACTAATTTTTTTTATAGTAGAATAAAGTGTGAACCGAATTTTTTGTTAGGGACCAAAAAAGATATTTATTCTTATATTAGTTAGCAATGTAATAACGTACTGAAATGATTAAAATAACATAGTAACCCAAATTGATTAGAGAGAAAACTTATTCTTTCTTCCGTGTCACGTACTCATTCACATACTCTCTTTATCTTTTGTTTCTTTTTCTTTTTTTATATAAAGAGAGGATTGATTGCAAAAAAAAATTCAAAGACACTGCCCCGAACCCCGCCATTAAATATACGGACATAAAAAAATTTTCCTAGATCCGCCACCGATTGTGGCACACAACTTTTACATATAATCAGTGGATTGAAATTTTCAAAATGTAGGATATAGAATTTTATATAAATTTAAAATAAATTTTTAATAAATAATAAATATAACTATAAAATGATAGTTTTTTTAATATCTGTACGTAGAGAGAGTGAGTTTCCGGCTTGCAGCTTAGGCGTTAGCGGTGATGTGAAGATAACAAATTTGTCACGAAAACTTTTGGCTCCTGCTAGTAGAGTTGTACAATTTGACTCTCTCTTGATTCTAGAATGCTAAAAATGCCGTTGGCTAGATCGTTTTTTTTTTTTTTTTTTTTTATCCGCGTAGCAACTTTGTTGTTTATCAATTTGGTGTAACTTTTTATTTCGAATTAAATAGTGTATTTTGTATAAAATTGTAAGTTTTATTCATGAATTTGAAGCGTTTGTCAGCCAAGAAATGGTCATTACAAAGTTACATTATTAGATATGGTATATCAGCCAAGATATAATTAAAGTTATGGTTAGTGGCCATAATTTTTCTACCAATCATTTGTGAAATCGAGTTACAGGTTTAATATATGTCGTGATTCTCACCGATATTTTTTATTTTATTTTTGCATTTAATATAAAAAAAATTCATTTAAAAAATTATGTTCAACGTTTATTAATTTAATACAAAGTATTTAAAAAAATGTTATAAAGTCGTGAATCAAACTTATGATTTTATACAAATACATCATTCTAAAAATTAACGATCAAATTAATAAAAATAGTCGAAGTTGCACGGCATGATCATCTTTTTAGTATTTATACATTAAAAGTAGGAAAAAAACTACTCTTATAAGCTACGGGTGTGCATGACAACCTTCCCTAAATCAATTATTTTTTAATTTCTGTTCCCGGGAACAGAAATGGATAGGAAACTCGTTTGATAAAATAATTTATTTTTTTGTTCTCGGGATGAACCGTTTAATTTTTATGCTGGAGAACAGAAAAAAGAATAAAAAAATTTCTGTTTTTTTGTTCCCAGACACAAAATAAGAAACACTTATCTCTTTCAATCACTCTCCACCATCGTACCACTAGTGTCGTCATCACCACCCCTCACCACCACGATGCCACCACCACCTCCACCTATCACCACCACAACTACCACCATCACCATCACCATCACCACAACTACCGACGCCGTCACCACCACCACAATCACCTTCACCACCACCATCATCGCGACCACTGCCGTCACCGCCACCATCGCCATCACACGCCACTGCCACCACCCCATCGTCATCACTACCACCACCACGACGCCACCACTATCATCATCATCACGTCACCAACCACCATTACTATTGTCGCAGCCACTATCGTCACCACCACCGTCGTCACTGCAGCCGCCACCGCCACCAACCACCACCACCATCGTCACAGCCATTATCGTCACCATCGCCACCATTACACCACCCTCGCCACGCCATTGCCACCACTACCAACACCACCACCACCGCAGTCACTGCCACCACCCACCACCATGATGCCTTCACAACCACCACCACCATGCCACTGCTACCATTGTTGCCGCCACCAACCACCATACCCACCACCATTGTCGCAACCACTGCCGTCACCTCCACCACCACCATCCCCACCACTATCGCCACCGCCGCCACCATTACCACCGCCATCGTCACATCCACTGCCGTCACAACCACCACCACTATCTTCACAACGTCACTGCCACCACCAGTACCGTACCGCCGTTGCCGCCACCACCACAACCACACCACGTGGAAAGGAAAGTGATGATCTGAAATTTTTTTATATTTTATAGGAATTATTTTTTATTATATTTTTTGTTGTGTTATCAAACACAATTCTCATTCTCGGAATAAAAATAGAACATGTTATCAAACACATTTTTTTTTCATAAGCTGTTTCATGGCACAGAAATAGAAAAGAATTGTTTCTTTTTAAAAATAGTGCTAAGGAATAGAATGGTTGTCATGCACACTCTACATGTGATAGCTTTCTATCCTACACACCCTTCGATAACTGTGCCACCTTTTTATTTTATTTTATTTTTATTTTTCATTTGGTTTGAAGTCCACAAATTTATCTCTATGACATGAGATAACTTATCTCCTTTAATATGATATTAATAAAACCCTTAAAAATAATGACATGATGTAACGTACGCTAATTAAAAACTGAAAGGGCCGTCCAGTAAATCCTGGTAAATTGATGCGTTTGTCATCTTCTCCATGAATAGTCGACATATAATATAATATAACCCTGTCTGTGTTGGCTGATACACCATGATTGATTCATATTAAATAATGTCACAAACATTACTTGTAGTAAAACGGTACAAAAATTGTAAACCTCATCCTCTCGTCAGTCATGACTTAAAGTGCAGCCACACGACACCACCAGCACCACACCACGGACAGCACATTCAACATCTGTATATAAAGGAATATGACTCATAACTTTACACGAATTAATGAGTGATAACTATGGAAATACGTTTGCTGTTTCATGGCTAAGGAATTAGAATCCAGAGCCCTACTACCAGACAATAAATTAGCATATTGCTTTAAATACTTTTGTTTTATTTGTTTTTGGACTCTAGAACGCTCCGTCAAAAATAATTATTATTATTAATTATGTAATTCCAAGAGCGTGTCTAAGTCAAATTGAATATTATAGTTGAGCACAATTTGTTCTGCACAAGATACGCCTACTCTGTGGCAAGGAAAAGCCGCGGAGATAACTAAACCAAATATAATAATAATAATTTAACATTATGTTCAACGAAATTAAATTTGTTTAATATTAAAATAAATTAAAAATTTATAAACATAACGTCACAGTTACAGGTTATCTGATAGCGTAATTAGCCTGTCTTGTCAGAAAGGTTCTTCATGTCTTCCATTCAAATCCTGTGTATAATTTTTTTTAAATTTATTTCAAAAAATCGGCTGAATCCAATTTGTATTTAATTAAGTTTGACTTGGTTGATAAAACAATTCATCGATACAAAAACAGCTGAACAAATTGTATAATTATAATTTTTTTTAATTAGTAGGGCTTTATGTATAACATGTCATCACAAGACAAAAATAATGTTTCCTGCATACACAATGGTGGGGTTCATCAATTTATTTTTCTCACTCCTCAATTTATTTTCTCTATTCTTGTTATTGTCTCACTTGGAAACTTTTACTTTATCCTAGAATATTATTGTTGTATTTCCCTAATTAGTATGCATTGGTTTTTTTAGGTAGTGTTTCGTAGAAGATTTATTTTGGGATTGATGGGAAAGTGTAAGTGGATATTGAGAAATACTACGTTTGATTCAAGTTTTTGAAAAAAATACTAGGCAAATAGGATAGATGGGGAAATGACTTTTGTGTTGATTTTTGAATAAAATTCACTGTTACAGAATACCACTTGAGATGTGGTATTTTGAGATAACTGGGGAAGTGAAAGACAGGTGCGAAGTTTCTCCCGAACATAGATTTTGCAAATTTAAATAAATTTTCCTGGTAATATT